CATTGGCAACAGTCGTAAACAATTCTTTTGTTATCAGTCCCACTGATCTACGACTTGACGGAAACGGAGGTAAAACCGAAATAAATTTATACTATCCAGACCACGGAATCAAAGCGCTTACACCCGTCGATAACCAACAAACATGGAAAGAGTTATGGTCAACCAGTATTCCCCAAGCATTTCCTGGAGTTAGTCCATTGACTCACGACATCGCTGACATACGTCTCACGATCCGAAACGAGAATGAGATCATCAAGAACAGACCCAAATACCTGGTCTCTCTCCACCGCACGTAACACCCGTTTCTGAGACTACACCATTGGCAACAGTCGTAAACAATTCTTTTGTTATCAGTCCCACTGATCTACGACTTGACGGAAGTGGAGGTAGAACCGAGATCAATTTATACTATCCCGATCACGGTATCAAAATGATTACACCAGTCGATAACCAACAAACATGGAAAGAGTTATGGTCAACCAGTATTCCCCAAGCATTTCCTGGAGTTAGTCCATTGACTCACGACATCGCTGACATACGTCTCACGATCCGAAACGAGAATGAGATCAACGAAAGAGTCACTCAAAGAGTTAAAGGTGTCCGTTACTTAACGCTAATCCCTAAGAATACATTGACTCCACAGACAGCATATAAGTTTCGCACAGTATCGTTGAAGCCAATCAAGCGCCAGACAACAATCACCGCGTCTTCAGACAATCCAGTGGCCATTCAACCACTAGAAAGCGATGGTCGACAAAACCGCACGGATAGCGAGACACGAACGACTTCGCGCTCGACTCCACAGAGAAGTGTTTCCTCTTCACGAGAAACAGTTGGTCAACGCGAATCGAGACGAGCCGAGCGACGTAGACATCACCGAGGGAACCGTCACTCAAAAGACGATCACCGCAACTATGATCGCAAATAAGTTTATATAAACTACACTTTATTTTAATGTTATTAATATTATATTGCTTATTTTTGTAATAATTAATCATTGCGATTATTTTATTGATTTTTGCTTATATTGTTTTATGCTTAATATACTTACTATATGCTTATTTTATTAATTACCTTATATTATTTACAACATATTCTTTAAGAATTTTAAAAATTATTGTTAAGAATTTTTAACTAAAGCAGAGGGAGATTTGTAGAGTCCAATGTCCATTGACTAGAATATGTTTTTATGTGTAAATGAATTGTTGACTAGAAGTTTGTATCAACACAATGTGTTCACTAATAATTGTTTAGTTTTGTCACATCCTTTGCTTTATCACATGAATTGCTATCACATTATATAATCACAGATATATTGCTATCACAGAGTTATCACAGATATGTATTGATTGAGTATTCATTCATGTGTTGGTCGCCAGCGATAACGCTTGGCTTGACTAGTGTTTATCACAATGTGTTTTCCTATAATGTATTTGTATGACTAGTGATATATCACAGATATGTAACACTTTATGCTTTAAATAAAACTTATTTTATTTCAATATTAATTGTGTGATTGTGTGAGTCCTGAGAGTGACCTGACCTGACCAGACCCGAACCTCGGGAGCACCCGAGCTCCTACAGTATGTTATTTTATTTTATAACTGGTCTTGTTTAAATTAATAATTACTGCGAAAAAATGTTATTTAATATAAAGTATATTTACTAACAATACATTATATACAGATAATGAGTGACACCAATATTGTATCATCTTAAAATAAAATTAACTTTATATGACGTTATGTTTTTAATAAAGAATAAATAAATAACAAAAATATATAACTTATAAAATCACATGCCCCGTCCATGATACGTAAATATACTTTATAAATTATATAAATAATTTATAATTATTAATAAATATTGCAGTATTTGAAAGTTTCCATGTATATCCTAGAGTACTTGTTATTATAAACGAGTTTAATTGCACTTATATTAAGGTGAAATTGGGAAATCACATGCACTACTAAAAGCAGAATATTATAAGTTTGTTATAGTGTGGGAACCTATAATCAGGATATAAAATCTACAATATTAAAAAATAAAGTGCTTAATTTAAACTTTATGCACCCAATATTACCCAATATAACCCAATATTATACACCAGACCTCATCCAAAACAATGATTCATTTGGATATTATGTTTATTATTGTATATTTTAGTTGTATTTCATTAAAATTTTAAGGACTAAATCAGTGCATATACTATACTTATATATTGACTATATGTACATATCACTATAACCAAAAACACCCCGATCACCTGATCAGCTTATGTTCGCTGATATTTACAGTGTATTTAATGATATAATATAATATATATATTGAAAATCTATATTGAATTTATATATTTGTCTGCAATATATTTTTCAAGTAATATATGCTTTCAATCAGATAACAGGGTCTCGTCATTAGACGTCAAATCGGACCGTAATGTATGCCATAGTCTATGATATAAAATGATTGAGAGCTCCCATCATTAGTTCATTTTACTGTTTTATTACATTATTGAATAGTTAATTTAATTTGCAAAATTATATATTTAATTTATATATTTAAATACTAATCTCTTATACTAAAGTAAGTAACAATTATTGAGCACATTAAATATATTTTCTATATTATACATGTATATTTGTGGTATATTTCTTATATGGGAATATCTTTAGAAGTTTTATTTAAATTTATCTATATTAAATATATTATGTATTGGTATAAATGTAACTAGGTTGTAATTACAAAACTAATTGATTATTTAATTTTTACATCAGATGCGCGAAAACAAGTACAACGGAAACGGAGTTTTAAACGGCAATACACTGTCGGACGGCAAGACTGCCGACACTTTCCTATTCAGTTCCGAGTCTGTAGGCGAAGGACATCCGGGTATGTGTTTTATCATGTATTTTAAATTAAAATTTTTAATGGTATTTTACCACATATTTTATCTGTTACTATACTTGTGTATTACAAATGCAGTGTCAGTGTTAGCAAAAAATTAAATTTTTAAATTATATTTTCAGTGATTATTAGTTTAGTAGACATCATATTTTAAGTTCTACGCAATAAACTAATCATGATAATAAATTCATGGCACTATCAATGTAGATTATGTTTTATAGAATATTCATGAAGCCTTTTCATTAATGATCTTAGTAACAAATTTTGCACTATCCAAGGTTGTTTGTTGGTCCAACATTCATTAGATAATTACAACTATTTATTATCTGATTATTTAAAGAGAAAATACATAATAATTTATAACTATTACTTGTTTTCAACAATATTTTCCATACAAATAATAAACATGTTTAAAATCCAACTCCAAAAATATCTACAAAACAACTCAATAAAAAATAAAATCACGTCACATGTAATAAATTGCAATAAGTAAACTAATTATTTGAAAAATCTAATCTAGATAAACTATGCGACCAACTGAGCGATGCCATTCTGGACGCACACCTAAAACAGGACCCGCTCTCACGGGTCGCCTGCGAAACGGCCACCAAATCGGGTCAGATTGTAGTGTTGGGTGAAATCACATCCACAGCCAATGTGGACATTGAACAAGTGGTCAGAGACACTGTCAGGAGTATTGGCTACGATGATAAAAGCAAAGGTAATTTCATAATTGCATCTAACCATATGGACAATTTTGTCAGTAGCAACAAATCTATTTAGTCAGTTATTTGTGCAAATTTTACTAATAGTAAAAATCTAGCACTTTTATCATCTGTACACTTAACAACAAACTATTTACTTAGAACATCATATAATTATCATATGTGTTTCGCAAATATGCCCTAATCGTAATATTTATCCAGAAAAATCTACAAAGTTCATCAAACTTTCAATTAAACATTTATCCAAAACATTAATGTATATAACATTAATAAATAGAAATAAGTAACACAATAACAAACAAAACACATCATGTAAATGTAAATCACAATAATATTTAACTAGTAATAAATATAACCACACAAACACTTGCAATCGAGTCACATAATTGCCAAAAACTAACCATAGCAAACAACTTTCTTGTAAACCATGTAGGTCTGGACTACAAATCAGCCAAAATCATGGTCTTACTGGACAAACAGGCGCAGGAGATCGCGTCGGGTGTTCACGTGGATCGGACCGAGGATGACATCGGGGCCGGAGATCAGGGCCTTATGTTTGGCTACGCCACCGACGAGACGGACGAATGCATGCCATTGACAGTTGTCTTATCGCACAAACTGAACGAAAAACTCGGCGAACTCCGACGGGACGGCACCTTTCCCTGGTGTCGACCCGATTGCAAGACTCAGGTCACCTGCGAGTACTACTTTGACAACGGGCGCGCTGTGCCCACTCGGGTGCACACCGTTGTCGTCTCGACGCAACACTCGGAGGACATATCGCTGGACGAGTTGCGCAAAGAGATATTGGAAAAAGTGGTGCTCGAGGTGATACCGGCC